TCTGGTGGCGAGGTAGGGCGATGCCTTCATCCCGAAAACCAGTCTGTTGAACTCAAAGACTTCGGGCTCGCTGTTGTTGTCCTTTCGCCACAGGAATCTGGTGTACTTCCTGTCGTCTGGCCGGAGGCCAACTTGAAGGAACATCTCGCTGATGTCGGCGACGATTGCCACTGGCTCCATACAAAACCGTAGCAGGATGTGTACAAGGTCGCTCTGCAGTGGTGGGCCTGCGTGCATCTCCTCGTTGAGGTTACATCCACTCCAAGAGACGGCCGCGTCGAACACCACCCGCACCTTGGTGGTGACCTTGTCTTGGCGAACGATGGGGAAGTGCGGAACGAACCACTGATCTTCTCCATCCGCAGCTACCTCTTCTGCTGGCACTTGCCTAATGTACCCTTTTGCCATGTGCGATACAAGGACGCGGTTGTACTCTGCCGCGATGTGCGGCTTCTGTTCAAGACTTCTTTCTTGGCTACGGAGACGGCGCTCTGCCATTGGCCGGTTGTTCCGCACCTTCGGGCCATCCGCGCTGCGCCATGGGATGCCGACACAGTACCGCCCACCGCTATACGACAAGGTCGCGGTCGTCATGGCTTCTGCTTCCTGTTCGGCTGGCGTTCGGTACGTTGGGCTGACTCCGAGACCGACACTCTCGACATTCCATAAGTCTTTCACCAGGTCGTCCAAGCGATCGTCCGCCTGCTCCACGCTGTCACTCGGTAGACGGACAGCACAATGGGTGGCCACACGAGCTGGGTCAGCCTGAGCTGATGTCGGGCCGTAGCACACCCAACCGAGCGGGGTGAGTCGTGCCACTGGACTGCCGGGTAGGCCACATCTCTCCTCCAGAGCCTTGTGGAGCGGCGTAGCATTGAGGCCGATGAGGATACCAATCTTCTTACTATGGGAGACTGGGAAGTCGATCTCTCGTAGGTGGTCCCAACTACTCTTGCGCGCGTGCCACTCGATGATGTTGGAGTCTCCAGTTACCTGTGGCAAGACCCAAGCGTTCAATGAGGAAACATAGCTCCCGTCGATGCTGGAGATGGTGATTGTCGACTGGGTTGCATCTGTGCTGACGCTGTTCCCTCCTAGCGTCTGGACCTTCAGTGGTTGCGATGCTGGCTGGATGCCAAGAAGATCTGCAACGTCCTTCTGGATGTAGCTGGCTGTCGACCCAGAGTCGAAGAGAGCAGTACACTCGACCACTCGGTCCTCGTTCTTCAGCAATACTGGCACAGTCATGAATGAGATCCCATCATCGATGAACGTTGTGCTGCTAGACGGGTGCAGGACTGAGTCTGCACTGGCATGGTAGGTCACCTTCTCGCTTGTAGGCGTGCCGTTGGCGGACGCTCCTGCGGTGGTGCGTGTGTTGGAAGCGCTCCCTTTTTGCTCTATGTGCAGCATAGCATGATGCGTCTTCTGACAGACCGTACACTTGCCGGTGTCACACTTGTACGCTCTGTGCCCGGGCCGGAAACAGCAGATGCACAGACTACTGCTCTTGACTAGCTGCCAGCGATCAGGGACAGACATCTTCTCAAAGGCAGGACACCGCTCCAGGGGGTGACTGCCGCTGCACTTCAGGCACTGTGCACTCTGCTTGGGGGGACCGGCAGCATACGATCGCTCCGCCCCCCCTAGGGTTCCATGGTCGGTTCTGAGCTGGACGCTGCGGTGGCTTGGACAGTGCAGGCTTCTTCTGATCTTGGTCAGACTCGGTCAGCCTGGCATCAACTTGACGCAGGGTGTGCACTCGCTTCATCAACCAGGTGGATAGTGTCTTCACGTTCGTTAAAGAATCGTCATGAGACTCGACAAACCTCGTCAACATCCCGCGGGGAAGCTTCTGCGTGATTGTGATGTAAAGATCACGGCCTGGTGTTAAACTGGCAGTTGACATGTTCAACAGAACATTCCGCAGTCTGACGGCCAACTGCTGCAGCTTGTCGGAGTCCCTTTCTGAGGTGATCCGTGGAAGTGCTAGAAGTTCCTGCTGTTGGCGCTCGAGCTCGCGGTCATTACTCCCATACCACTCATCTAGCTCCTTGAGCGCAGCGCTGTATGCGCCAGGGCCATCCAGCAGATCCGCAATCAGGTCATCGGCCGTGCCACCTTCTAGAGCTTCCCTTAGACGGGCCATCTTGTAATCTTCTGAGACCATGTGGTCGTCGTCCACCAGCCTCAGAAACTTCTGCCTCCACCTGATGTAGTTCTTCTGTGAACCATCAAACTTGGGTAGTTCCAGTGGCTGGATCTGATGTTGGCTGATACCACTGAAGGGTGCACTCTGAACGCCCTGTACCCAGCTGCTCACTCTGTCAGCTTTTCCACGTGCTGTATCTGAAGCTGCCTGAGGCCACGATCTTCCCAAATGACCTTGTACTACTGGAGTAATCTCCATACTACTACCACTAGGCTTGTCAAGCCCTACAGCGACCGGAGCTGGCGTCCTGTCAACACCGACAGGGGTGGACACTTGTGTTTCAGCAGGAACGCTGTCCTGCTGTTCGGTCGCTTTGTCTGCGGTGGAGCCATCTCCATCAAGGCGAGAAACGCCACGGCTCTGGAGAGTCTCAGACTTGAGCTCCCCGTTCAACCGGTCGTCGGTTTTGAACGCTTGAGCTACAAAACCTGCAGCGGGAGGACCAGCGGAGACGCTTCGCTCCGTGACTGCCTGGTCGTCATCGTCAGTCTCATCATCAGACGCCGCCATCTTCCGCGCAAGCAACGCCAGGCTCTCAGCGCAGGTCTGAAATGACGCGTCAGTGGACGGCTCCGTCTCCTCCGGACGTCCCTCTGACTCTAGTTCGTCTCCTTCAATGGAAGCCAACTCGGCGTCTAGCTCCAGCTGCAGGATTCTTTTCTGTCGCTTGAGCTGCTGGACTTCAAACTCCTGCTCCAGCTTTGCTAGCTGCACCGCCGCCTTCAACTCCGCTCTGCGACGCCTGGAAGCAGTAGAGGAAGCGGACGATGTCAGGGAAGAGACACTACTCTTCGTACCGTCTAGCTCTGCCTCAGGCTCTCTGAACCTTACTGGGGGAACACCTTTCGTGCTCCTGCTACTTTTTCTAGGTTCCGCCATTTCTCTAATCACTGCACTGGTAGATCTACGAAATGACAACTCTCGAACCGATTCGGATCCACTGATCCGGCTCGAAGGACCAGATGTTTGGATGCAAGCACCCAAACTACCAACAATAGCTCATAAACTCACACTGGAGTTATTGTCTTACTTCCATACTTTTACAGTCTTGATAATCATGAGCAACAACAGAGAAGGAAAAAGGAATCTGACTTGAAAAACTAAAAAGCACAACAACAGCAACAGCTGAGAAAACTAAAGTCAAAAGTCCGACTCAAAACGGAACTATAAGCCGGAACTGTAGTGTAGCAACATAATGCATAGATACACGGGAAAAGAGCCGGCACACGCACGCAGCGCACCCGCAAAGTGAAAGTCTAGACATCAGAGCATGAATACATGAATGCGTGACAGCAAGCGCGCCTCAGGCACCAAGACACAAGATCACTACAGACATAACAGAGAGATGAAACGCACACAGCAGATCCTAGACAAACACAAACTGGAGCATGCAGGCAACTGAACACAAGTCGGACAGAGCTGGATAGTAATTATAACACTGAATGCATGAGAGAGTAGAGTCACCTGAACAGACACACACGCCACACCACATCCCCCGACATACACTGGCTGTTGGTAGCCACCCAGGATTATGAAAGAAGAGCTAGGAGAATGAGAAAGAGAAGAAAGACGTGTGCAACCATAATCGTCGGGAATTGAACCCGCAACCTCTGGATTGGAAATCGACTGCACAGTCCACTGTGCCATATGGGACACACAGGGACACACACAAATACACACACACGCACGCACACACATGCGTGTATACATAAAGTCTGATGCAAACGCCCACGTCGCAGCAAACGCTCGCCCCAGCGGGTCCATACTATTCTTTTTCAGGTCAGTTTAGTTGTAGAAAACTGGCATGAAGGTCGAATGCGTACAAGAACGACTGTAATGCCTACACAGTGCCTATGTCTTACCAGGATCCTGTGCAAAAGCGATTGTCATTATCTTGCTGCAAAGAAACACTTCGGTCGGGATTTCCTTTGCATCCGATAAATGAGTCGTCTTTGTTATTGTAGTTCGTTCTCCTGATGATGGGCCAGGCCGGAAAATTGGGCGTACAGTAATGTAAATGTAAATTTGAATTTGAATCGCAGTGAAGAGACCGTTTTTGGAGTTTGGAGTTGAGAAGCGAAGTCTCCTAAAAGTTCGTTCTCCATTGTTTCGGTTTTCAAATCATGAAATTTCTGCAGTGCCATGAATGTGACAATGTTGAGCTTTCAGAACGAAACGGTTATTGTTCTGATGAAGCGTCATTCGACGACTTGACCGGTCGCAGTATTGCAGTTGCAAGTCGAACAGGGGAGATGTCACAAAAGCTACAGCTACAAAGTCGCTATCAACTTGTTGAAAACTCTAAAGTGCTCGAGAAAAACCCTTGCCTTTGCGTGTTGCGTGATTTGGAAATGATGGCTTGAAACACCGTCAGAAGTATATTTGGTTCCTGCAATACTCTGCTCTTTGCTACCTTGTTATTCGGAAGTAAAACCCATTTGGATTTGCGAAATACAACAAACAACATCATAAAATCACTACGAGCTAGCTCGTAGCTCGTGCCCAAAGAGACTTTGAAACCAGGCAAGTGGACATTGTTTAACGTAGGAAAAGCGCTCTTTGCGCCACGGTGTGAGATGCACTTTCGTACAGTGGGAGTGACAGTGCATGGGGTCAGTGCGTACAGGCCAGCAGATCTTGCACAATGCGGTGGGCATTTGCACCGGACTTTACGGTACACAAACACACACACACATACACATGAAAAAACACACACACACTATTGGACCAGACATAGTGGTTACAACAATGTGTCTTGTTTTTCTTGTGTATTATTCGCTGTCTGTAGATTTCTTCACAAGGGTTGTCAAGAGCAACCTACCACAGATCATCGCCAACCTAGCGACCGTACCAGATATAGTGCTCACTGAAGTATTTGGAGATGTCACCCTGGATGAAGAGTATATCAGCACTTATCGAACGGCATGTGAGGTGGCCGGTCATGTGCGTGATCTTCCACTTTGCTGTCAAGCAGTAATTGGGCGGTTTTTACTGTTCCCAGTGAGCTGCTTTATGTTTCTCTTTTATGACTTGCACCACCCTGATCTCACTCAACGACTGGATAAAGATTTCCTGATCAAGATCGACCGTGAGGCAGGATGTGATGGGAGTAGTCTTGTCCAACTGTTGAATTTGGCTATTGATTTACAGAGCGATAGTAAGTGACAATTTGAAGACTGCAATGCAAGTTAAAGAATGTCCATGATGGTGAATCCTAGTCAATGGATGATGCTGATCTTTGTATTAGTGTACATACCAGCTGAAGGTTATATGAAAATACAGTTGTCTTATACTAGCAGAAATGTTCTAAATAATATTAGCTGTGTTCCAATTTGTTTAGTATACGTTATGTTCTAGCCTTGGTTTCCATTGTGAGAGAGAATGAGGAATTTTATTGAAATCGTCCATGCCTAATCATAATGGGACTTTCTCCCGGTGACTTGACTTGACACTTGACTGACTCACGACCGCCATCCAGATCACACAAGAAGTCCATTGAACTTTCAAAGTCGGCGGGAAAGCGCTAGCTTCAGTGTTGGGAGCAACCCATGTTCTGATGAAATGATCGCCAAAGTCGCAAACTCTATTTCATAGCATAGTAAAGTAGCCTAAACCTGCCTGTCATGTTTGTGGAAATCACCAGCATATTGTTTAGTATTGTCAAAATGCCAATTTTCTGAACTTAATGTACCGGCAATCCAAGCAATACTCGTAGAGAATTCTATTGTGATTCTTCTGATCTCACCTTCATATACAGCAGGTACCGCAATGTCAATGATGAATGATGAAGGTGTGATTGCAGAGAGAGAAGGACCAGGAGATGCAGTTGAAGGTCAGTACTGTCCTTGTAGTGGTCCTCCATTAATGCACGGCCCTATTTTAGGGGAATGCATACTCAAAGTTTGTCAGCCCGAGCCTTACGCTCGCATTCCAGCGCAAGCTTTACAGTGTCCTGCGAATTAGGACTACCTTTCTCAGCGCGGCCGGCGAAACTGAGTGTCCACAGAGTTACCGAGGAACACCTCATCCTGACAGTATATCCTTCTGCGAATTAGAGCGCCGTGGAAATGAGTGCCCAAAAGGTCAGCGCAAAATACCCCAGAGAGACAGAAAAGCAGTGGCGGATCCAGGACTTGGCCGAAGAGGGGGCCCAAGGTATCCGCCCCCCCCCCAAAAAACAAAACAAAAAATACAACAACAACAAAGTCCTGAAGTTGTGAAGAGCTGTTGTATTTTAGGGTCCGGCGGATTCTGCCGGCAGAAAAATTGGCAGAATTCTGTCCTTTTTCTGGTAAGTTTCATGGATGTTTGGTATGTGGATAAAAAATGGAGCAGAATTCGAGGAATTGCCCGCCATAGGGTTTGTATGGTTCTGCCAATTTCACTGCTTTTCGAGCAGAATATGCCACCTTTTCGAGCAGAATCCGCCGGTCCCTAGTTTTTTTCCATTCTCACGACATTTTCAAACTGCACTGGAACATTTCCACTCGACAGCGGCCGCGACGGACCTTTCGACGGCTCTCCAACGCGAGCTCTCTTATCTACCGGTCCACTGAAGAACGACCTGATGTCAGACCCTTTCCTCTTCATCTCATATCTGAAGGTAACCCGTTGGCTACAAGCGAAATAGAGAGCTAGAGAGCGTTTACTTGTAGTTTCTGACAAGTGAAAAAGAAAAAAAGGAAGGACGAATTCGACAGCACCGTGCACCATACAGGACTTCAGCCCAACGCGATCGCTGCACTATGTACCAGGCCCTGCATTTTTGGCACGTTTTTCACATGTTTGAAGTGCGGCCGTGTCCTCAGGTCGCAGTGCGTACAGTAGTTGTACACCGGTACACAGCACGTTGACTAGTACAGACTCAGTGCGTGACACCATGTACCGGAGTGACCGGACACGTATAAAAGTACCCAGCACGCGTGACCCACTTGACACGCCAAGTCATTTCGAGCGCTCATTCTACAGTCTACTGTAATCCTAGACCAAGGTCGAAATTTTCAAAGGGGGGGCCCAGGCCCCCTGGGCCCCCCCCCCCCCTGGATCCGCCACTGGAAAAGCGTGTGGTTAAGTTAGCAAAACTTGATTCTGCCAGTGATCACTGTTATTAAGTGTTACACTCTGTGGTCTCGGACACTTTATGACTGGTAAGACCAAGGTCGTCCGATGTGGTCTGCCCAATTCATCCAAAAAGCAGTACTCATTTCTTAGCATTATGCACTCCTACATGCACTCGTGCAAACACTGTGCACGTAACTCATGAAGGTGACTTAGAGTAGACCAGGGTAAGAATATGCCATTCAGTATGCGCTCTTTACTGATACTGTTCTGCCTGGACCCATGGTTGTTGCCAGTAGACTAGTATACCGAGTACTAGGTAGTTGTATTTAGTGCTGGGTGCTATGTGCTATGTAGTTACATTGACTGTTGCTGCAGTGTCCATGTAAACATGGTAGTCTAGATGTACATGTATGTCTTCAGCTCACTCACACACTCACAGAGTCACAAAGACAGTATACTATGCAACGAACACTTAGCCTACAGGATACCAGTTTATCAGCTATGGTAGATGTATGAGATGTTGACATGTCATGTCGGCATGGAGACGGCCTTTCCATGGTAACTGGAGCTGCGAAAGAACTCAGTTCTGATTTGACTTGCTTGCTTTGTGGTGAAACAATGTTAGTATGAAAGGGAGGACGGCCTCTGCATTGTAACTGGAGCTGCGGAAGAACTGTCTGCTTGATGTACTTAGTTTTCTGTACTGGTGAATCAATGGCAGTATGAAAGGGAGCAATGCCCTACGTAATTATATTATACTAAGTAGATATAAAGTTAATGAGCAATGGGTGCACTTTACGTCAGGCAATTCATCCTGGCGGAGCATCAGGCAGCTTGGCTCTGTTATGGGGGGCGCTGAGGATATCGACAGGCGGATTTCACTGGCATCCCAGGCATAGGGTAGTATGTTCAGCCTCTGGCTGCGGCGCAAGCATGTGTCAGAAAGGTCCAGGCTCAAGCTGTACAGCTCGCTTGTGCTGCCTGTCCTCCTTTACAACTGTGAGACTTGGGGAGTAACCCAGGCAGTCTTTCAGCGACTGGACTGTTTTCACCGCCGACAGCTCAGAAACCTGGTGGGAGTGCGATATCCAGACAGAACTACGAATGATGATCTGTATTCCAGATGTGGCTCGCAGCCACTGTCGGAGCTTGTTGCCAAGCGACGCCGTAGCCTCACTGGCCATGTGCTGAGGATGAGTGAGCAGTCACCTCCTTGCCTTGCGATGTCCTGCTATTTTCAAGCGGGATCACGTGGACGAAGGGGCCGTCCCGCAGCTACTCTCCCTACCACCATTGTGAAGGACCTGGCAGGGCACGACATTCCTTTGAAGAATGCCAGCGACCTAGAAGAAGTACGAGCATTTGCTGCAGACAAGTCGAAATGGAGATCAGACATTGTTTATGGATGAGTTTTTTGTTGACTGGAGACAGAAGCAGACTTGGCTTAATTTCAGTGTATTCTCATGCATTGTTCTTTGGCCTTTGTACGCCTGATGTGGTATTATTATTATTATTAGATATGAGGCCTGTTGCAGAGCATGTGGTTTCAGCAGACGTGTCACATGATTGGCAGACACTGGCTTGAACAGTGCTAGGATAAGAAGTGCTATGGAAATGTTTTGCACTGACACTCAGTGCATGACCACAGATACGTAGCGTGCAGATGATGTGGTGCAACTTCAAGAGATTCAGTACTGAGACGATATGCACGTTGTACAGATGTATGAAGTTCTGTACTAAGGTCGTAGGTGTGTACAGACCCGGCTGGGTGTTCACTGTGTGATATATATGCGCATTTCACCAATTTTAGCATCATAATTAATGGAAAACATTCGCTTTTCCAGCTTCTTCACTTTGGTTAGAACTAAAAACTAGCTAGATCTTTGTCGGGGGGGGGGGGGGGTTGTAAGAAATGCCTTCAGGGCCCATTTCTTAGTGGAAATACAGTCGTCCCTCTCTAATCCGGCACCTTTTGCTACGGCATTTTCTGCTGGATTAAGGAGGGTGCTGGATTAAGAAATCCTGCCCTCTGACCCGGCCCTACCCAATTGCATGCATGTATCATACGTCAAAACGCAGGGTTTTTCCGTGTCGACCCCAGTATTTGGTGCACGGCTTTATATTCTCAACTTTTCTCCAGGAATATACACAGTGATAAAGTAAAACAGAGAACATGTTCACATGTATACGTACTCTTGCACACACACGAACAGCCGATTTACGACTGCCAGATTATGAAATCAAACTACGTGCAGTTTGAGCGATTCATTTCAAAAAGTCACTGCCGGAGGCGGAATTCAAGTGCCGGATTAAGATGTAGGAATTGAACGAAAAACTTTCGTCAGAAAGCCCTACTAGATGGGGATTTGTATGCAAAATGTCACTAAAAGCGCCATTTCGTTCTTATAAAAGCACGGATGACCGCGATTGGCCCATATCTTGTAGTCTTTTGGACGCTGAGTCGACTGGTTTTGGTCCGAAAAGGCTGCGATGTAGCGTTCGGCCCTTATTCCCAATCGAACATGGTTGAACAAGCGGTCACGTGCTCCACCAGTCACCTGGTTACCACGCCAGCAGGCGACAACTTTCACACCAAGGTTCAACACAAAGGTGCAAAGGTTCAACTCGAGTGGCAGAAGCTCACCCCAACATGCTGCAAGTAACAGCCCGCAGGCACGGTGATCAGGTGACTGGTGTACGCTCGAGCACGTGTAGGGCGCAGTCACCCAGTTTCGGTGGAAGTGCGCGAGTTCGATTGGGATTAAAGAAGGAAGGGAGCGTCTCAGCTTCCTCGGACCAAGACCATTCGACTCAGCACCCCGAAGACTACAACTGGTGAAAAATTGATTTCAGGCTTAACTTCCCCTTTGATACCCAACCGGGTCTGCGTGATTCCACGAGATTCTACGGGATTTTGTGCATCTGTACAACGTGCATAAGGCTTTAAAAAACCATCCTCTTCTAAGGGTTAATTTGCTCAAATGCACAGCAGTCAGTTAAATTCCAATGAAATGCTTGTGCTCAAATGGTCCTGCTAAACTGTTCATGTTGAAATTCTGGTGCTGAAAAAGGATTATTCCGGGTGTTGTAGGCTAGCTAAACCCAATTCAACGTGAACATATCCTTCCCATTTTAATGACTTCTTCCTCATATCTACATCACATGTATTGTGCTTTGTTCTGGTGTATGTGTATATATTGATTGTGCAGCTGATAATGGCCAGTACGCAGCAGCTCTAAGTGAACTGATCAAGGAAGGTGTCCAGCTGATACCGTACGGGCGCCTGATAATGTGCGGGCCGGGCCGCACAGGCAAGAGCAGCTTCCTGCGATCCCTCCTGCGTCAAGCATTCATGTCCCAATTCGATAGTACCATCGGTGTGGAGCTGGAGAAGGTGATATGCACGATCGAGAAGCAAGGGTTACAGTATGAATGGAAGCAAGCTGAAAATTCTTACCAGCAGCAGTTGGCCCTGACGCACAGAGCTGTTGGACAAGAGAAACAGAAACGGAAAGCAGCAGCACTGAGACAACCAAGCGTAGAGATCTCGCAGAATGCCAGGTCCACATCCTCAACGACATCAACACCCGCAGCATCGCCATCCATTGTTACTGAGGCTGAGCAAGTGAATACAGCCAGTGTGGGTGAATCTTCTCTCAGGCAACCTGATGACACCACCGATACCGGGTACTCTGCTCAATCTGCTGCCAGTTCATCTGAAACTATGGACTCCCAAAATGTTTCCCCTGCATCCAAGCCAGAGATTTCACCTATGACTGCGCTGAAAGAAGAAACACCAGAGCAAGATGTCCAGCAACTACAGACGGAAATAAACTCAGCAACATTGAAGTTCGAAAGCTTCATTGAAGATCTGCGGACAGGCAAAAGCGAAGTTTTCACTGCAGAACATTTCAAGAATTTCACTTTTATGGATGTCTGGGACTTTGCAGGCCAGAAGCTGTTTGCAGCGATCCAACACATGGTCCTGGCCTGTGATCGGTGTGCATATGCTGTCGTCTTTGATGCCTCAAAGAAGCTCCAGGCCAGAGCGAAGCCGACGTTTGGTGTAGATGGTGAGGAACTGCCGCTTTCCAACAACCTGGAGCAGACGAACTTTGATGTCATGGAGACATGGTTCAACGCTATCCACGAGGTCATTGGAGACAGCGACAACGTACCCGTGTTTGCCATTGGCACACATGTGGACAAGTTACCTAAGAATCCAGAAGCAAGGAAGAAGGCAACTGAAGAGATAAAGAAGTACATATGGGCCAATGCAGAGGGAAAAGCATACGCCAACAACATCGACAAGGTGGTATTTGTGGACAACACACGAGCTGGTAAAGATCCGGAAGACCCAGCAGTTGTTCAGCTACGGCAAGACATCGTCCAGCAGCTGCAGCATCAGTTCAATGTTCCAATACCAATCCGCTGGCTTCCTGTGACCATTTCCATTGGGCACATTGCAAAATCGTTTGAACGACCATGGCTATCGGTTGAAGAGCTACGTCGCTTAGCTATTGCTGTTGGTAGCATCTCCAGTGATGATTCTGAGTCAGATTTCCAGGAGATGGTGAAGTTCCACCATGGTCTTGGTCATTTGCTTCACTTTATTCACAATGCCCGTCTTCGTGATCGTGTCATCATCGACATCCACTGGGTTCTGAAGACGATGTCACTGCTCTTCTGTCCTGAACCAAAGGATTTGCAGAGCAAACGTCTTCGTCCACAGTACGACTTGCTGACACAGAATGGCATCCTCCTGGAAAGTCTTGCCATGCACCGCTGGTCACAGCACAATCGCATGACATCGCGCTACACGGCCACAGGAGAACAGCGTGATTTCCTGTTTGAGATGGGTGAGCACTTTGCCCTGTTCTACAACACCAAGACAACTGTGAAGGTGCCTGGTCAGAGGAAAGAGGGGACAACTCGCAAGTTCTTTGTACCAGCTCTGGTGGAGCGAGTTGCACGTCTTCAAGATGAAGTGAGCAAAGGCAAGCCAAGTCCAGCTATGTACCTGTATAGTGGTGCAGATCGTTACTTTCCACAAACCCTGTTCTGGTGTGCTGTTGTGAGGTGTATGCAACGCTACAGTCCAAAGGTGGATCCAATCCTCTATCACACATCGGCACGTATTCTGGTGAAGGATCGTTTCTGGTTAGTCATGCGATACTTCCAGCATGGCATTCGCCTGTCACTGGAGATTCCTGTTGATGCTCGACCAACTGCTAAGTCTTCGATCGCCAGTGCTACTTCTGCTGCTGCTGCCAGTGGGGGAAAGTCAGTTGAGTCCGCTGGCATTGGAGCTGCTGCAAGTGAGGATGAGTCTGAAGCTATCAAGCTTTGTCACGAGCTTCTACCGTACCTGGAGTCAGAGCTTGACAAGCTGAAGGCATTCTCGCTGACTCATGTGGAGTTTGGCAGAGCTGTCCGCTGTCCGTGCTCGTTCAGCCGAGATGCGTGTCGCAAACACAAGCAGAAGTCTTGTGTAGAGATCGGCTGTCAACACTTTGCTCCATTGGTGGAAGGATTGCGTCCACGCTGTACAATCGGAGCACGTCCGTCAGTGGATATCAGTGATGTACGGCACTACTGGCCATGCTTTGTCGAAGACATACAGGTAAACAGAAGTCATAACTGTTAAATGGGAAGTATACTGTAAAATCAAATTTTCACATGTTGTAGTCTTCGGGGTGCTGAGTCGAATGGTCTTGGTCCGAGGAAGCTGAGATGCTTCCTTCCTACTTTATTCCCAATCAAACTCGCCACTTCCACCGAAACTGGGTGACTGCGCTCTACTAGATGGGAATTTGTCACTAAATGTTCCACTTCGTTCTTATAAAACACAGCTGACCGAGATTAGCCCATGTTGTAGTCTTTTGGACGCTGATTCGACTTGTTTTGGTCCGAAAAGGCTGCGATGCAGCATTCGGCCCTTATTCCCAATCGAACACGGTTGAGTAAGCGGTCACGTGCTCGTGCATATCCCAGAAGCCTGTTCACCGAGCCTGCAGGCTACAACTTTCACACCAAGGTTTCAACTCAAAGGTTCAATTCAAGTGACAGGAACGCGCTTAAACAGGCTGTAAGTTGTTGCCTGAGGGCACGGTGACCAGGTGACTGGTGTCCGCATGAGCACATGACCGCTTACTCAACCGTGTGCGATTGGGAATAAGGGCCGAACGCTGCATCGCAGCCTTTTCGGACCAAAACAAGTCGACTCAGCATGCAAAAGACCACAACTTATGAGCCAATTGTGATCATCCGTGCTTTTATAAGAACAAAGTGGCGCTTTTGGTGACATTTTACATACAAATCCCCATCTAGTAGGGCGAAGTCACCCACTTTCGGTGGAAGTGGCGAGTTGGATTGGGAGTACAGGAGGAAGGGAGCATCTCAGCTTCCACGGACCAAGACCATTCGACTCAGCATACAGCCATCCTGAGAGTATGTACCAGGCCAGTACATGTCAGGAAAGTGCTGGCCTGAGGGCAGTCTCTTTTTCTTAATTGCCCTGATCTGGAAGTGTTTCTAAATCTACCGGCTCCCGTACCAAACAATCACACTGTACTCTAACCCTAACCAGTGTAGGTAATATTGCACAATACAGCATGCATTCGCTGGCTCAGGGTTTGCTGTTTCCATGACAACCACTTGCTTGTGACGAGAGGCACTGGAACCCAGGTACATGACTGTAATCATATGTTATGATTTGTAATAGCTTTTTCGAGAACGGTTTCAACAAGTCCATTATACACAAATCTTTGAGAATTTTTCCCCCCGCATACATTTCTCTATAGTGCTGGATTCCCGAAATCGGAGTGCCAAATCTTCCTGAAAATTAGAGAAACCGTATTTTGCAGATAGAAAACAATAGCAATAGCAACATAAGGGATTGATGTTGACAAATGCAATGGGGCTTGCAAGTCCTATACCACAACCAGGCCAGGGTCATGACAGCGCTGAATTTACGATCCAATTGTATCTAGTTTTGTATGGATCCATGCACATTTGAGTTGTTCCCTTCTCCGTAGGGTGACAAATCTGCCCAGACTAACTGGACTGCTCCCAAACCCCCAGAAGTGGGGACCAACTTCTGGCACTGAATCCAATTCAGTACACCTGCACTTGACACAATGAGAGCCTACCTGCCAGATATGTACTTTGCTATGGCCGGTGTGGATCTCCCAGAAGTCGTTATCTGCTTATCTGTTGAGTTCTGACTTCATCATTTTTAGTCCCGGCACAAGTCTACAGTAAAGGGATGGGGGATTGGCTGGTGTAAATCATTTTCTTTGTCTGCATGCCACACTGCTATGTTTCATTGATTCTCTCCAGATCCCAGAGCTTGCTGATACTGAGAAGCCAATGCCGGCAATGCCAATGACAGTTGTGGAGCCCGCAGTCAAGGACAATGGTGAGATAATTCAGTATAGTGTGAAATTGATAATATGCCCTGGAAAGTACTGTGCTGCTCAATGAAATCCGGTCACGGGAATCAAGTACGTGCCTGGCGCTGTGCAACCCTAGACCTGCAAACACTGGTTTGTGACCTAGTGCAGTGCACTGACTACTTACTTGACTCACTTGATCAGATTTCATTGAGCATTGACTGTGGAATACGGGAATGCAGGCTGGAAAACGAGACATGAGAAGCTAGTACAGTCGACCTACCCTTATAACGATATTTGCGTCAGACCAAGAAATGTTGTTATAAGGCCAAAACAAATAATGACCTTGTTTCCGGTCGCCCGACCGGGCCACTTTTTCCCAAATTCTGAAACTTTTTTTGGTCCCAAGTGTATACAAACGGTGGCAATGCCATGTGTGCAAGTGCACTCAACGAGTCATAACTCAGTCAAATCTCAACCGAATTCCACAATCGAAACACCTACAAGGTAGCAGAGATTCTCAGCTGTCGGCTCGAAAACCTCCGGGGTCGATACGAGCTAGAATAACGGAGCTGGAAGGACTCAAACTGTTTGCTTGATTTCTCAGGATGTACGAAAACAGGAATACACCACATGCTGTACAAGAACAGTGAGTCAGTCAACTTTGACATTGATCCTTGCCATGATATATTATGTACAATGTACATGTGTAGGTGCTCTTGTCCATCAATACCACAACGATTGAGGAACCAAAAAAAAGTATCCAAAAAAAGTTTCATTCCGGCCGACCGAGTCTCCTTTTTGAGGGGTCGCCGACCGGAAACAAGCCTATTTTTTGTTTTGGCCTAAGGGTAATATTGTTATAGGGGTAACTGGTTCACTTCATACACATACGTCATAATACATTGGTTTTATTTATTTTTTACACTCTCCATGGCATAAATAACTGACGCACATGCACATTATGTACACAGCAAGGTGCCCACTGGTGCCCCTATTGCATTTCGTCATTTCCCAGCAACTTATCAAGTGAAGCTTGCCCTACCTGGATAGTGGGCTCTACATATTCCTTGCTAGATATTGTTATAAAATGGAAAATGTCGATTGGTCAGCCCATTTTATATCCTTATAGGGGTAATATCGTTATAGCAATATTGTTATAGAGGTAAGGCATTGTATACACAAGTCAATGAAGTGATTTGGTTTGGCAGAAAAATATCGTTATAAGGGTAATATCGTTATAGAGGTTATCGTTATAAGGGTAGGTCGACTGTATAACCTGCCTGTCCCTGGTCACTAGAGTGTATGGTTCACGCAGGGAAGGACACACTGGAATTGACCATAATGTCGGGTACGAAGGCTGAATATAAGACTGGGATTATTCCTATATATAGAAACGTGTGTCAGTGCTGGGCTTCTATTCAAATCAGGTCGGTATTTAACCCTTTCTGTACAGACTGTACAACTTTTGATCCCCTGGGATCGAAACTTTTCAAGATGTCAATCGATCGTAACTCAGTCATTTCTGGGTTATTTCAAAAACTAAGATGTGTAGGTCGAAGAGAAAACTCCCAGCTGTCCATTGCCATTGGCATTGAAACCATCGATGAAGCGCTCCGATGTGCGGTTCTGGGAATGTGTTTGTGTGTATGTGTGTGTGTATGTCGATCGAATCGATAGGTTGCGGGTTCGATTCCCGACAATTATGGTCACACACGTCTTTCTTCTCTTTCTCAGACTCTTCCTGACTTTTCTTTCTTTCTCCTGGGTGGTTACCAACAGCCAGTGTATGCCGGAGTATGTGGTGTGGTGTGTGTGTAGAAAAAGAAAAAAAGAAAAAAATGGAAAAATGAAAAATAGGGATTCACTGGCTAGAAAAAGTCACTTCAAACAGCTGTGTGGTGGATACCAGGCTAAAAATAGTGGCGATCAATTCATCAGCCTTGCAAGCTGTTGAATGGTGTAATCCCAGCACAAGTTGCTATGTCTAACATAGCTGTTCGCTATCATCGCTCCCGCGATGGGCATGTCTGAGGTCTGAGGTGTGTATGTGTGTGTGTGTGTGTGTGTGTGCATGTGTGTGCGTGAGTGTGTGTGTGTGTGTGTGTGTCCATTGTTCTTATCACCTGACGATGGCCAAGTGCCGAAACGTTGTAAAATAACGGAACTTGTTCGGCTGTGCAGCACTCTTGGATTGGGTGTGTCTCAAATTTCTTTCCATGTATTATCGGTGTTGTGCAATTCCGTTTTTATTTGTTTCTGGACATGTAGTTGTGTGTAGTTGTGTGTTCCTGTGTCATCTGTGCCTTCTGTATTTTGCTGCTTTCGCAACAGACAATCCGTTTGACCTGGATGGGTTTGTGTGTGACATTCAACCATGGTTGAACAAAGTTGACGCAGATCTACTGCGACGGATGGTGGTCAAGAAGCATCTCATAACTGACAGCGCATCAATAGAGAGACTAAAGAGAATTCGGTCCCGGGATGGACTATCTGATCATAATGAGGAGCTCATCCAGTTGCTCAGAGCTGGTGGCCTAAAGACTTATCGTGATCTCGGTGTTGTCATTGAGGAACTTGGGTATGTGGACAAGAGCAAGGAAATGCTCTCCATTTTGTCCCACACAGGTACGTTGTTGCTATACTTTTACTGCAATGTGTTCAGCTTTGGTGGTGTTTAATGGACAGCTGAGAATTTTCTCTTCGACGTACATATTTTAGTTTTTGGAAATAACCCAGGAATGACTGAGTTACGATTGATTGAAATTTAAAATTTTTTTAAAAAGTTTCTATCCCAGGGGATCGAAAGTTGTACAGTCCGTACACAAAGGGTTAATGTCCTTGGCTCACCATCTGAGTTCCCAGAGTTGGCTTGATCATTAAGACCAGTGTGACAATGACCGTTAGAACCATGTGATTTACTCACCTCCCACCGCTTTAGGAGGTGCATCTGTGCCTTGATCCTTGAAGCTGGTGGCATTTCCTACGGATGAGGAAAGCTCACGTCTAACCGTGTCTGTCTTAACGCGAACTGTGAACTTCTTTTATGACCATGTACACATCTGTGATGGTGGTCGTTTTTCAGTTTGCTGTGTTGTACATTTCCTTCTAATAACTGTTACTTTGCTTGTAGGTTCAGCTAAAGTTCAGCATGATACTTCAAACACTGCGTCCACGAGAGCTGCAGTCTACCAAGGAGCATTGCGCAAGCACTACACAGCTGTGCAGAGAAGCCTGGAGATAGATGTCGTGGACTGTATCAAGAGTTTGCGAGCCGATGGTCATGTGAACGACGATGGCGTGAAGGAAGCGAGGGCTCTGATGAAGTCAAGCGGACGAGCACAGGCTCTGGATCACCTGTGCTGTGTGCTGGAGGAGTTGTCGGTCGAAGGCATGTGCTACTTTGTGGAGCGTGTGCTACCATTTCAAGGCCTGTCCCAGCTGGTGGAAACATTCCAAGCTTGTCCCGGTCCTGGAAAGTGCACTCTGAACCCCCATGATCTCCACACTGCTCCCAATGCTGATGTCAAAGGGAAAGTGTTGGATGAAGCTGACAGTGCAAGTGCTACATCTTCTTCACTGAAAGACAAGGTGAAAACTGGGGTAAGAATGGATTTTCTATCCAATTGTGGAGTATGTCTTTAAAAATGTTCATAAACCGGGATTATACAGAGACTTACACAAACACAGCATAGGAGATTTTTTAAAGATTCGCAAAGAACAAAAAGAGGAAATAATGCAGATAAACCCTTTCACACTCAATGTTGGGTTTTTTCTATATTATTTCAATCATGTCAAAATTTGCGCCTGTCTCTGGTATATTTCCTCTCCTAGTCAAAGGTAGGCAAAATATAGCAGGGGTAGAACGGATTCTTGCTTCTGTGAGGGAGGTGAAAGCAATGGAAGCTAGCTACATGAGTAGAGCTGGTGTCGTGACATGTCATACTGAGACAAGCTCGTTGGTGATGACACCACACATGGAAAGTCACAAACTCTACCTAGCTCAGCTGCAAACAGTTCTGTTACATCTTGCAAATCTACATGCATCTCCCCTCACCATCACCATCACGCCTGGTGCCTAGTCTGCGGAATCTTCAATCCATTGCTCTCTTCCAGTCACTGAACCTGAAGATGTCCGCCCAAGATTGCCTGATGAGACAGGGATGAAACACGCATCCTAATCTGCGAAGCTGATGCTGTGTGTCATGCACCGGGCGTGAACTGATGCACACGCCTGCCAAGCAAGATATCACCAAAAATGACTAGGCCATGTGCGAACTGATGGTGATAGCGGGAGATGGACTTGCAAGATGTGACCAAACTTAGGGCAGCTACGGAGAGCATGTGATGTTGCCATTTGACAGACTGTAATGAGAGCTTCATGTGAAGTCCTCAAGCCCGGCATTAATCTAAGCATGTAGTAGCAGCATTTAACGTAGAAAACTGTGCGAATATTTGCCATGCGTGCTCATGGTGCTGCATGGGTTTGTGTGCACACTGTATACAAGTAGCCATTTACACAGTGCACCGCGCTGCACCATTCCCTATTCTTGCAACCTCTATGGGTTGCCCCATGATCCTTGGGGGTGGTGGCGTTCCTACGGATGCGGACAACTCGATCTTCAACTCAGTCTCAAGGGAACTGTGGATTTCTATAACTGTTATTTTTACGGGTGTTATCGGAGCTCGACAAACCTTTCCTGCTCCATGATGTGTATTTGAACTATTTTCTTTTCTTTTGGAATTGACTTCTTATTCAAAGCTCAAGAGATGAACAGATGGTGGCATGTAGACATTGCCACTGAGCATGCATATTATGTTTGTCATGCTTATATTCCTAAACGATTATCTCTGCACAATTATTTGATCTGTTGGTGTATTCTTAGATGTCTGAGCTTCACCAGGAAGTACTGCGTTCAAGCTATGTGGAATTGAAGTGCCGTTTGGACGTAGAAGAGGGCATTCTGGATCATCTCTATGAAGAGAGCATCGTCACCAAGCGCTTCTGCAAGAAACTCCGCACTATGGACGATCGTGAAGACCAGGTAATGCTTGTGTCAATGTGTTATGCAACTACATAGGAAACCTGGGCAACGCAGAAAATCTCGGTGGATATCATCATCATGCCGTGCAGGGGCGTCGGACACGGTACGGTCACTACGGTATTGACCGTACCACTTTTCGCCAGAGGTGCCCCTCGTGGAAGGTCCAAAAAAAATGTATCTGGAAGTGGCACTTTTGGCCGAGTGGTTCACCTGCGTACCATGTGTAGACTCCTACAGACTGTCAGTGTACCAGGTGTACGTGTACAGCGCAGTGCTGTAACCTGTACATTACTCACAAGTAGAGTGCTGTACACTGTACACTACTCACAAGTAGAGTGCTGTACACTGTACATTACTCACAAGTAGAGTGCTGTACACTGTACACTACTCACAAGTAGAGTGCTGTACACTGTACACTACTCACAAGTAGAGTGTTGTACACTGTACACTACTCACAAGTAGAGTGATGTACACTGTACACTACTCACAAGTAGAGTGCTGTACACTGTACACTACTCACAAGTAGAGTGCTGTACACTGTACACTACTCACAAGTAGAGTGTTGTACACTGTACACTACTCACAAGTAGAGTGCTGTACACTGTACACTACTCACTAGTAGAGTGCTGTACACTGTACACTACTCACAAGTAGAGTGCTGTACACTGTTCACTACTCACAAGTAGAGTGCTGTACACTGTACACTACTCACAAGTAGAGTGCTGTACACTGTACACTACTCACTAGTAGAGTGCTGTACACTGTACACTACTCACAAGTAGAGTGCTGTACACTGTACACTACTCACTAGTAGAGTGCTGTACACTGTACACTACTCACAAGTAGAGTGCTGTACACTGTTCACTACTCACAAGTAGAGTGCTGTACACTGTACACTACTCACTAGTAGAGTGCTGTACACTGTTCACTACTCACTAGTAGAGTGCTGTACACTGTACACTACTCACAAGTAGAGTGCTGTACACTGTTCACTACTCACAAGTAGAGTGCTGTACACTGTGCACTACTCACAAGTAGAGTGCTGTACACTGTACACTACTCACTAGTAGAGTGCTGTACACTGTACACTACTCACAAGTAGAGTGCTGTACACTGTACACTACTCACTAGTAGAGTGCTGTACACTGTACACTACTCCCTAGTAGAGTGCTGTACACTGTACACTACTCACTAGTAGAGTGCTGTACACTGTACACTACTCACTAGTAGTAGAGTGCTGTACACTGTACACTACTCACTAGTAGAGTGCTGTACACTGTACACTACTCACAAGTAGAGTGCTGTACACTGTACACTACTCACTAGTAGAGTGCTGTACACTGTACACTACTCACTAGTAGAGTGCTGTACACTGTACACTACTCACAAGTAGAGTGCTGTACACTGTACACTACTCACAAGTAGAGTGCTGTACACTGTACACTACTCACAAGTAGAGTGCTGTACACTGTACACTACTCACTAGTAGAGTGCTGTACACTGTACACTACTCACAAGTAGAGTGCTGTACACTGTACACTACTCACAAGTAGAGTGCTGTACACTGTACACTACTCACTAGTAGAGTGCTGTACACTGTTCACTACTCACTAGTAGAGTGCTGTACACTGTACACTACTCACAAGTAGAGTGCTGTACACTGTTCACTACTCACAAGTAGAGTGCTGTACACTGTACACTACTCACAAGTAGAGTGCTGTACACTGTACACTACTCACTAGTAGAGTGCTGTACACTGTACACTACTCACAAGTAGAGTGCTGTACACTGTACACTACTCACTAGTAGAGTGCTGTACACTGTACACTACTCCCTAGTAGAGTGCTGTACACTGTACACTACTCACTAGTAGAGTGCTGTACACTGTACACTACTCACAAGTAGAGTGCTGTACACTGTACACTACTCACAAGTAGAGTGCTGTACACTGTACACTACTCACAAGTAGAGTGCTGTACACTGTACACTACTCACAAGTAGAGTGCTGTACACTGTACACTACTCACTAGTAGAGTGCTGTACACTGTACACTACTCACAAGTAGAGTGCTGTACACTGTTCACTACTCACAAGTAGAGTGCTGTACACTGTACACTACTCACTAGTAGAGTGCTGTACACTGTTCACTACTCACTAGTAGAGTGCTGTACACTGTACACTACTCACAAGTAGAGTGCTGTACACTGTTCACTACTCACAAGTAGAGTGCTGTACACTGTACACTACTCACAAGTAGAGTGCTGTACACTGTACACTACTCACTAGTAGAGTGCTGTACACTGTACACTACTCCCTAGTAGAGTGCTGTACACTGTACACTACTCACTAGTAGAGTGCTGTACACTGTACACTACTCCCTAGTAGAGTGCTGTACACTGTACACTACTCACAAGTAGAGTGCTGTACACTGTACACTACTCACTAGTAGAGTGCTGTACACTGTACACTACTCACTAGTAGAGTGCTGTACACTGTACACTACTCACAAGTAGAGTGCTGTACACTGTACACTACTCACAAGTAGAGTGCTGTACACTGTACACTACTCACAAGTAGAGTGTTGTACACTGTACACTACTCACAAGTAGAGTGCTGTACACTGTACACTACTCACAAGTAGAGTGCTGTACACTGTACACTACTCACAAGTAGAGTAGTGTAGTGTAGTGCAGTTTAGTAAGTGTAGTGTAGTGCAGTGCAGTGTAGCGCATCGTAGTGTAGGCAGTGTAGTGCAGTGTAGTGTAGTGTAGTGCAGTGTAGTGTAGCGCAGCGTAGTGTAGGCAGTGTAGTGCAGTGTAGTGTAGTGCGGTGCGGTGCGGTGGGGTGTGGTGCGGTGCGGTGTGTTGTGGTGTAGGCAGTGTGGTCTAGACGGAATAGACTGTTCTGTCAAACAAGTCTAGACTTCTGTGTGTTGGTGTCACACATGTACACGATTGCGCTACCATTATCACTAGATATGAGAGGGAATGTAATAATTATGGAAAGCTTTCGGCCTGCATTTCATTGTACAGCTCATGGGCTTCCGCACCCACATTGTATTGGGTTATCGTTTTTATGAGGACTAAGCTTTTTACACAAGGCAGCATCTTTGATTGGCAGCGCCAAACACAAAGAAAGAAAGGCAATTTGCTGTTTCTGGTCTAACAGTTACTTGGACTATGAGCATCATGCATGGTAGCTTGCTGTGGGTTTTCGGTCAAATTAGACTTGAAATTTGGCAACAAGAGAGCATGGATGAATAATATAACCCATTGGTTCGATCAAGCCCACTAAGTTGCTTTACTTTGAGAGATTGGAAGTTCGTGACAATGCTATAGAGTGTACAAACTAGACACCTTCAACTCCTCATCAAGAATTCCATGTTTTGTCTGTTTCTGGAATGTTGTGTCTCAGGCGTCTGAGTTCTTGGAAACACTGCCAGGTTGTGGTGCGCAGGCCTTTCGCCAGTTTCTATCCGCTCTCAAGGACAGTACGAAGCTGGCTCACAAGGAGCTGGCCGATCTGCTGACGGAGAAGCTGGTGGAGAAGACTTCTGTAAGCTAATGTTTGTTGTGAATTGCACTCATTCTTCAGACTGATTTTGTATTGTTTATTCTCTGGCAATGCTGTTTTACCATATCTGTCATGCACAACACCTGAAACATGGCTCCACAGTCAACTATACACAGTCACTTTGACAACAAAAAAAGTTAAGAAAATGGAATGCAAGATACAATAAAAACCATTTCCTGACATCATTATAAAAATTAATGTCAAGATTGTCGACGCCAAGCTATTATTATAAGCATGACATCAACAATCTTGACATAAGTTGTATTAGGTTGTCTCTTCACCAGACAAGATTAAAAGACTCTTGCAGACGCCAGCACAAAGAGCTCACCAGAAATACTCCACGGTAGCAAGTATTTACTCATGACCAGCTTGTTTCCAGTTTTTTGGCTTTCAATAACTGCTTTTCTTCTCACGAATCCCCGTGAATTTTCTATGGGAAGAAAGCTTGTGAGGAATAACTGCTTGCTGCCGTTGAGTCAGTCAGAGCAGTTTGCTTTTCCGTCTTGTCAATATAAATAATGTAACAAACAAGTCTTGTCCTTTGTGTCCTGCGTCCCGGGGAACGGAATGGCTGAGATTCCGTAACAACGTGGTGCCGAAACCCGGGACGCAGAGGATGAGTAAGTTTGTCATGAGTCTGTTCGTCGTCGTCGTCAACAACTAATAGTACAACTAGAGAGTAAGCGTGGATATGCAGGTGATCAGGAGAGATGAGGAGCTGGTGGAAGCGGAAGACGACGCGGAGAGGAGGCAGAGAAGGTGGTGGACCGGCAGAAGCTGGGGACTGGAGTCTGAGACGGCAGGAACCGCGATGGAGCGTGTGGCCGTGGCTCGCCAGAGGCCAGTGGACGAGTCTGGCATCACTGACTGTGTGTCGTCCTTGTTGTTCGTCTTGTTGTTGTCTTGCTCGCTGTGTTCTTCTCTCTTTGCTCAGTTCGTTGCTTGTTCAGTTGTTGCTGTATTGGTTGAGTTTGGTTGTTGTCGTTCTGTTGCTCTTCTCGTCGTTCTGTTGTTCTCCATTGTTTTGTGTTTTAGATATATTTTGCACTGCTGCGCCCATGGTAGTATTATTTTGAGAGCTTCGGCTCTCGTGTTTCGGTTGGCCTTGCTTGCCTGTGAGTAGAGCATCGGCTCTTGTGGTTTTTGTTTGGCCCTGTGTCGTGGCCTGGTTATAGAGCGTCGGCTCTAGGTTTTGGTTTGGCCCTGTGTCGTGGCCCGGATTTTATTTTAGAGCGTCAGCTCTAGGTTTTGGGTTGGCCCTGTGTCGTGGCCCGTTTTTCTTCAGAGCGTTGTCTCTGGGTTCTGTTGGCTTGTTGTTAGCTTGTGCTACAATGTAAGCTGGTTGTTTTTGGTTTTTCTGTTCTGCTGTGGTTCCTTTTGCTGTCGTGCATGTGGAATGTGGTGTCGGTTTTATTATTTTGTGGAATGTCATCAAGGGGGCAGGTGTTGTGAAAGGATGTGTTGTTTTCCTGTGTGATGGCATTCCCCAAACTGTCTCGTCTAGTCGCGTGCATGTGTGATATGACCATGCGCGATTTTGTAGTCGAGAGTCCTTTTGTCAGTCTTCTTGTTCGTCTCTGTCAGAGCAGTTTGCTTTTCCGTCTTGTCAATATAAATAATGTAACAAACAAGTCTTGTCCTTTGTGTCCTGCGCCCCGGGGAACGGAATGGCTGAGATCCCGTAACAGGCTGAACGCTGCATTGCAGACCTTTCGGACCAAAACCACTCAGCGTCCAAAAGACTACAACATATGGACCAATCGTGGTTAATAAAACCGAAACGGCCGTTTAGTGACTTTTGCATACAAATCCCCATCTAGTAGGGCGCAGTTACCCAGTTTCGTTGGAAGTTGCCGAGTTTGATTGGGAATAAAGGAGGAAGGGAGCGTCTCAGCTTCCTCGGACCAAGACAATTCGACTCAGGGACCCGAAGACTAAAACTGGTATGATTTTTTGATTTTTAGGATTTCCCCTGATTTCCCCTGGTGAAAAATGTATTACGTAGAATGATGTTTGGAGCCAGCAACATGAGGCTTAGTGTGTGTGTTGTTCCAGGACTCAGTGCATTGATGAATGTTTATTTGTGTGTATGCTTTTGTCCCTACAGGGTCTGTGAAGGTTACTCTGCTGGTGAACCCACCATGAGCTGCTATGTACCCACAATGAGCTGTATCAGTGAATGGTGTGTGTAGACTCTACTGAACGGTCGTAATGTTTCTGATCAAGTTTATTCAGGTATTCCAAGACCTTTTCTAGTTATGTTTCTTTTACGCCGTCTTGAACTCTTGGCTGGCATTCTAACTGGTGTAGATAAGAATGAAATAAACTTTACTTTATCCTGTATTTTGCTATTCTCCTAGTGAAATGGTTGACGATTCAAGTTAGACTATAATGAAATCCACACTGCACTGCACTGCCAGTTTGTATTTGCTATCTATATCGTAAGCTTTGGCGCACGGACACGTGTTGCCTTTTGAGATCGTGACATTTGGAGCTGCTCAGCTGTGCTGAAGACCTACCTGGTGGCATCTTGATAATTTTTTAAAATTATTACCGGTATGATTCTGTGGGTCTACACAGTACGTTGAGTGCACTCTTTACTGTGAGTCTACTGAGTTTTAAAGTGTTTTGTCGGTTTCTCCGCGTCTTACGTACATTAATTAAAAGCTTCCAGAAGTTCAAGTGTGCTGTATGTTTCGAGCTTCAATACTATATCATTAATATTATGATGTCTTTGACTCGCGTTTCCTTTTAGCAGAGCTTATAGTTTTGTTTTCGCTCTAGAGATTAGCCTGTGTTCTTGCACACTTGTAGTCAACATAGAATTTCTGACTAACTGAGGAAAACGTACTCAGCGGGACACACGTTCTCCTCAGAAAGTTGCATTGCCTGAGAATAGGTATATGGAGAGGTACTCGCATTGCAAGTAGTTCGTACCGACGTATTATATGGACTTGTACGGTACATGTATTGCTTTTTTCTTTCTTTTTTTCGGATCGCTGTGTTTGGCGGCATCACACGGTTATCGTGGATATGAATTATCACAATGAGGAACACCTCATTATTGCATCGGGAAGATGGCTGACTGTACTTGCTCACTATGATGTTGAACTTGTTACTTGGGCAATGGTATTGAGTGGAGCTAGCAGGATGACAGTATGTACATTGTACCCGTACGTACATAAATATAATGTATAGTCATATATTGTCGGTCATGGAAGAAGTGTGTGTGTGGGGGGGGGGGGGGTCTGCCTAATACAATGTACTTCAGAGCCTACAAGTAGACCGGTATTTTTTCATGTACACTCAATGCACATTTGAGTCACCGTGTATACATTGGTATGCTGTGCGGCTTGCCTTACAGTGAAATTCTAGCCTGGCTGTTCTTGGGCGGCCGACAGTACTCACCTCTTTTTATTTGGTTTCCTAAGAGACTTACTTTTGAGAGTATGTACTGCATACCGCCTGTCTCCAAGTATGTATGACTTGTGGACAGACAGTGGCCTAGTACAGTGTGGATCCCAGGTTTTTTTGTGTGTTTTCAGCCTGATGATCATGATGATGGGCCAGTCCTGAAAATTTGGTGGAATGTTTTTTTGTTTTGTTTCGTTTTGTTTGGCAGTGAAGAGACCGTTGTTGGGGTTGGAGAAGTGAATCATAGTGTTGTGTCAGTGGTTGCACTGGAGGTTAGGGAAAATTAGAAAGTCTTTTTGTCTTGCAATATGGCTGCCCGTAGCCAGCTAAATTATTATATTTCACCCTGCACTTGTCATGGCTGATGTGAGAAAGAATCATACTGTAACTACCGTATTTCCACAAATACCGGTATATGTTTCAGTGGTTGCGTTGGACTTTAGGGAAAATAGGGCTTGAAAGTGATGACGTCAAAACGGCCAGGGAGTAGTAAGTTGACATCAGATTTCTATTTTTGGATCCACTAAGGTGTGACTTTCCTATTGCCTAAGTATGTGGGTGCATAGCAACCCACTCATGTTGCATGCAGGTGTGACTTTTATTTCGCCACCAGTGGTAACCCCGCCCCCAGTAGCCAAATCAGTCAGTTACTGTTTGACTGGCTACATCACCATGCTGTGGGTAAGACCGCTTGAAATGTGCTTGGATCCATACAAAAACTGGATCCAAGTGGATCCAGTTTTTGAATTTTTGAAATTGTTGCTATGCTGTGACGTAGCACTTTCAAGCCCTATTAGAAAGTCATGCATTTGGATGTAGCCGCAGCTAGCTGTATCCCAAGCAAAATTTAATATTCGTGGCGTTTGGTCCTTTTGAATTTTGTGTTATTTCGCCATACATAATTCACCATAGCAACGGTTGTCCTAACCCCGCCTAGTTACCATGTTTACTACATTCTAATCTTGTTGCAGAGACTCTGCGAATCTGACGCGGCCATTGCAAAGAATGCATGCCCCCCCCGGCCAGAATGAACGCGCCAAACCGGCTCTAGCTCTGTCCGTAACCATGGTAACGACCTTCGATCGGACCGACCCACCGCGTACCGGTAGCCCCACTTCCCAACGGCCCAAGCCAGGTCACTACGGAAATCATCATTCTTTATTCATACTATCATAGCTGTTCCCGTAGCGTCTTCACAGCCTGTACCTGGTACGGTGTGTGTGTGTGTTTGGTGAAGACGCAGTTGTTACCGTCCATCTGCGAAGAAGAGGTACAGCACCATTGTGTTTGATAGCAGTTTTGTACACTATAGTCTCCTGGGCAGCATATCCGTGTCCCAGAACCAGAGAAAGTAGACCAGTTGAGTATCATCCACTAGTACATGTACTGGAGAAATCACTGTCGGTTCGTGTGTCCGTCGGTGACTAACGAAGTCTGGACGACCACGTAACATCGTTGTTTTCTCTCGAGTCAGAGTCATGTGTTGATGATAAGCCACTAGTGCGACTTGTGCTGGAAATACGAAGCTGCACTGTATCTGCAGTTATCCAGTGTATCCGCAGTGTTCACGGCAAGGTACAGTGCAAGGATAAGCTCTATAAAACTGCTATAAGGTGTCGTCTTTGAAACCTTCAGGCTTCAGGCAGTACAGTTAGTTATTGCCAGGCTGGCAAGATGGGTTGTAGTTATCCTATGTGGAGAATTGATTTAGATTTGAAAGACGTGAAGAAAATCCGTGGTAGTGGTACCCAGTACCCAGCAGTGTTGTACATCGAATTCATTCCAACGTACATGATTGTACTACAACACGGCAGCAGGGAAAATGACAAACGTAAATACATTGTATAACATTGTGCTTCACAAAGGCCAGCGAACTTCTGGGGGAAGTAACTTAGTTGACGCCATGCTTGAGCAGAGTTTTCACCATATCAGGCTTCTATGCTTTCCTCAAACCGGTGAAATGTTGTTGTTGTTGTTTTCTTTATTTGAATTCGCTAAAACCAAACGGACAGAACTGTCCAGTGACAAGGGAGCGAATGATGAGCGTCATAATCACTATGCATCAAAACATCTCAGGACAAAATGAGACAGACTATATTAAGGGAGGGTCTGCACAACACTTGTACATAAAGGGGAGTACGAGAACAAAGGCGCGGCAGAAGTCGAAGCAAGAAAGCAATCAACGCCAGAGATATTTTTGTCCACCAAAAACAGAGAGAGAGAGAGAGAGAGAGAGAGAGAGAGAGAGAGAGATCCGAGAGCGAGAGAGAGACTAACAAATGAGGGCTGAGACCTCTACAGCAGGGCTTTACGTCTGAAAACAACCGCACGAATTAACAAGCAAGTTGTCAGAGAGCAGGGAGAGAGACGGGCAGGCAGGCCAACAGGCAGGCATATAATGAAAATATGGCGATAGTGATCCGTCTGACCTCAAGGGTTCATGCTGTGTGGAACAGCAGCAGTGCGAAATTGGGCCGGGTGCGGTATGGCCCGTACCTCGCTGGGCAACGCATTCCAGAGCCTAGCTCCTTGGAACGCGAGACAACCCTTACCCAGCTCAGTGCGGGTTGGCGGTGGTCTTAGACCCATCGATGATTGCAGCCGAGTAGGAGCGCCACTGGTTGGTAGCAACAGCACTTGCAGTGTGGGGCTAGCACGGGAGTAGCGGCAGCGCCAAACCAGGAAGATGAGCTTCTGGATGAAGATCTCCCGGACACGGTAGGCGCCGAGTTGGACTAGCAGGTTTCTGGCAGAGGTGCGCGGCGAGCATCCGTACACAGCTCGAGCCGCACGATTCTGCAGAACTTGGAGACGGTCCAGGTGCTTACCCGCCAGCGATGCTGAGAAGGCATTGGAGCCATATGAGAAATCAGGCATGATCACCGACTTGAAGTACTGGATGCGGCTTTGCATGCTGAGGCAGCGGCGCATCCGCCACAGCACACCGACTTTCTTGGTGAGGCGGGCAACGCACCTATCCATCTGGGTGTTCCAAGACATGACGCTGTCAATGTGAACTCCGAGGTAGCGAGCAGAAGAGACAGATGGCAGCTTAGTCGCATGACACCATACGTCCAGTTCAGGTTGCGCTTCTAGCTTCCCAGCCGGTACTACCAATGCCTGACTTTTTGATGCATTAAGGATCAAACCTCGCTGCTTCAGCCAGTCAGCAATGCATGTCACTGCTCTGGAGAGAGTGGCGGTCAGTTCCTGTTGTGTTGGGCGACTGCAGGTCAGTGCGATGTCATCTGCGAACTGGATGGATTCAGCTTGCTGGGCAACAGATGGTATGTCCCGGGTGTAAAGGCTGAACAGCAGTGGACCTAATACCGACCCCTGTGGTACTCCACAGGAGCAGGCTGCCACTGTGCTAAGCTGGGATCCCAGCTGGACAATCTGGCAGCGATCAGACAAGTATGACATGAGCCACTGGAGCGCTGTTCCAGTGACGCCCACACAGAAGAGATCTTCGACTAGTTGCTGGTGGCGAACCTTGTCGAACGCCTTCGACATATCCAGGAGGACCACACCCGTGAACATGCGGCGGTCTCTTGAGGCGAGGATCCTGTTTACCATCAGCACAAGGGCATCCTCCGTGGAATGTCCTGTCCGGAATGCAAACTGTGTGCTGGGCAGAGAACCAGCCATATCCAGAAAGGTGACAAGTGCCTTCTGCACCACCTTCTCTAGCAGCTTCGAGAGAATTGGGAGCAGGGACACAGGACGGAAATTGTTGGCGACAGATGGATCGCCAGCCTTGTGCAATGGGGTCACATACGCACGCTTAAAGCCAGCGGGTACAGTGCCGGAGGTCAGGGACGCATTGAAAAGTGCTGCAACTGATGGTGCTAGCAGGTCGGCACAGTACTTTAGAAGTAAGCCTGGGATGCCGTCGCTCCCAGTTGCTTTGCGCGGGTCGATGCGCTTCAAAAGCTGTTCAGCATCGCAGGCACGCACATGTTGGAATGAGGTCAGGGCAGACCGAGGCTGTGGTCCCTGAGGCATAGAGAGAACTGAAGGTCGAGCATCATCAGAGACTACCTTGCCAAACGTGGACGCAACATGTTCGATGTCGCATGTCGGCTGGATTGATTGTCTCTTGCGTCCAGTCACAGTATTTAGGACTGACCATAACTTGCGTGGGTTCTGGCAATTATCTTGGCACTGACTTTGGAAGTACTGGTTGCGTTTGCACCTGTTTGTATTCGTAGCAACCGAGCGGGCACGTCTATATGCTGCGTGAGCTTCAGAGTTGGCTTTGTCAGCAAGCCACTTTCGATGCAGGCGACGCTTCAGCTGGTTTATCTTGTATAGCTCTCTGTCAGACCATGGAGGATGGAGCTTGCCTGTCTTAATCTTGCATTGCTGCAATGGCGCATGCCTGTCGAGGACAGAAAGGAATCGTTGATGCCAGTGGTCCCACATGGCTTGCACATCAGAGTCTGGTGGGTACACATGAAGTTCAGCAGCAGCTAGGTCAAGTCGGAAGGCAACCAAGTCAATGTTATCTAAACGGCGACGCACACGCTGCTTGGGGATGTCTGGCTGGGCATGTCTTGCATTGAAGGTTGCTTCAACTCCAAAGTGGTCACTGAGTGTAAGCGGCAGGACTCGGCAATCATGCAAATCCTTATCCTCTGTAGTCAGTATCAGGTCAATAGTAGTGCCAGCTGGACACCGAGGTGAGACTCGCGTAACGGAGTGGACGATATTAGTGAGGCCATATGCACCACAGAGATCCAGAAGGGGCTGGGCATGCTGTGGCAGGGAATGCGAGATATTGACATTGAAGTCACCCATCAATGTGACGGCTGAGGTAACCATAGCAGCTTGATGCAGCGATGCCTCAAGGGTGGACCAGTAGGAGACTGGCGCATCTGGTGGTCGGTATATGCAGCCAATTAAGTGATTGCCTGCCTTTCCATTTAGCTCAACCCACACTACCTCCGTGTCCCCTTGGTTGAGATCCGGCCGTGGTTTGATGGGCAAGTAGGACCGGTAAAAAATACAGACGCCACCTCCTTTTCTCCCCTTTCGGTCATTTCTCACCAAACTGTATCCTTCAATGTTCACTTCTCCATCAGCTATAGACGCGTCCAGCCATGTCTCCGCAATCCCAACAACATCCCATGTCCTTTCCCTAATCAGAGCGGACAGCGTGTCTATCTTGTAGCGCAGACTGCAGATGTTAAGGAATCCAATGGTGGTATGTGTTGAATGAGATTGTGGCAGTCTGTTAATAGATACGGTAGCAGCCTGAGGGTAGAACTCCCGCGCAACTGGATTTAGCTTACTCATTGAGAGCTAGATGAAGGTTGCATTTTGCATGGTATTCCCGACATGGATCCAGGGGAATCTTCTGCATGACGCTTTCCAGGGCGAGGTGGCGTGGCTTTGGCTGGAGCAGACGTAGTTGACGTATCTTGAAGAAATACTTTCCTATGTAACGATACTTGCATATCCATCTCTATTATGTCACTGAACCTAAAACCTTTTGTCATGCACACAGCGTTGACATAGAATGATAGTTTATAAAGAATGCTGCGAATCGAATTTTCAGTATTTCACCTCTTTGGTTCTGGGTCTGATCTACTCACCCTCCCACCACAACTGCACCTTGATCCTACAGTTGCAGAGGGTGGTGGCATGGCGTTCCTGCGGATGCGGAAAATTCCTCTGAGTATCACGTGAACCATGAATATCTTTTACCCATGATGTAGTGAAATGATTGTGTGTACATATGAACAGTAGTGGTGTAGAACAGAGGACTGTGTTGTAGAACAGCTTCGGCTCCACAATCCAGTGTGTCGTTTCTATAATAGCTTTCATTGCTGAGGTTGTTAGTGTGTCTGTTGGCTCTAGGTTTCCAGTACTCAGTAGCCGAGGCTGGTTGGTAAAGAAACTCCAACCGGCAATTTCACTTCAAAGTACCAGTGCATCTAGTGTCTGCTTCTATCAAAGCAGCGTGCTGTCTATACTAGTTACCCCAGCAAGTGTAGGGTGTTCATAGGTAACTGTCTTGGCCGTTTTATGCCGATGTACTCCGTGTGGTGTAGACCAGGTGTGTATTGGTGGTCGATTCTCATGGCTTCGCCAGTTGTGTGGATTAGACAGTTATCTGGCGCAAGTCTTGATCTGTCTCATTCAGATCTTGTTCGCTATCGTTGCTATAAGAGAAAATCTGTGGGTGCACATCCAGTGCATTTGCAGAGTTGCGTGCTTCTCTTGCGACGGGCGTATGCATGGTACATGGTATTGTGTGACACTGTACAGCCGGTATTCTGGTTGATTGTCATTCATACTTGAATTCTCTTTCAGCAAATTCATCGACTATCAGAAGAGGCATATTCTTGTTTTTCTGTTTTTCTGTTTTGTATAACTTTGTGTTCAGAACAATGCCGTTTGACTTCTGGAATGATGTTGTCCTGCCAGCATGGCATGACATAGCTCGATGCAAGATTACACATGAAGCATTGGAGAAGGTAGTCATGGCAACTGATGAACATCATCCACGTATCAGTAGAGATCCCAAGCTGAGGAGACATGTGATGAATTGGAAGGGGTTTATTAAAACCACTGAAAGTAGGTCAGAAAAGGATAGGTTAGCCTGCTATGTTGCCTGTGTTACTTGCTACAAGAGAGGGCAATCAGGTGTCCAGAACTTCATTCAAGACATTCAGTCTTCAACTTTCCCGTCCAATGTTGCTGTTGGTGGACTGCTGGAGAGAATTTGGCAAGCTCGTAAGAATGACCATCCTGATGAAGATGTGACGGATCCATGTGAGTATTAAGCAGGGGAGTAGTGCAATGATTTCATGGCATTTTGTATGTAAAGTTCATACTTCATCCACGTGGAATTGCACCATTACACTTGTTAGCTGCTCTGGCAACCCAATATTTTCCCTAAGCACTCTCAGAAGACTACCTTGTAGTCTCATGAGTATTACTATGAGAAGAAGTATTGGAAGACAGGAACCACTGGAGCATGCGCTGTCCTATAGTTGATGGAAAAATCTGAATAATCGTGCAGAGCTTGAGTACCATGCAACTCTGAGTTGAGATCTATTTTTGTTCCAATGTATTTCTGCTGAAATGCTGTGGAGAGGCTGGTTCGGGAAAAGTGCTCTGTTGGTCCTTAGGCTGTGACATGCTGTTGTTTAGAATTTGATGTTGTGCCCGCAGCCGAATTGTGATTGCTCTTACGCTGTACGAGAGTAGAAAAGCCTTCAGATTACTCTTGCTAGGTAGATCGTGTCTCTCAAGTACACACTGATCCTGCCAGCAATGAGAATGTGGCCAGTTTAAGGTAACATGACAAACTTATACTATGGAAAAGATAAGCGCACATTGCGGTGGGGTGGCAAGTATGAAGATGACATTCAGACAAAGACAAAAAAGCGGCGACAAGTATGGAAAAGTGTGTACACTGGTGGGCCAGAAGACGGTGCAGCAGCATGTACAAAGGGGTGACAAAAACACAGCAAAAACGCAGCAGCAGGCCGCAACAGAGTGACAGAAACGCAGCAGCATGTACAACATACCTATTTGTATAATTATAGTGTTGTTTTTTCACGGCTGAGCGTAGCGAAAGAGTGTAAAAAACGTATTTTTCACTCACCATTTTTCTGTCGTGCTCTGCTGCTCTTCCACTGCGCAACTCTCCCCCACCTGCCATCGTGGTCTTGTATTCCTCGTAGAGCGTGGAGTTTTCCCGCCCTCCTTCCCTTGGGTCCCGTACGTTGTTGGGCTTCCATTGGGTGCTGTTTTACTGGTTTTCCATGGCATACTTTGTTTTGTGTGTTTCTGTCCCGAGGGTCTCGGGTTTTTTTGGTTGTATGATTACTCCTTTCTGCTTGTTTCTCTTCGGTTTTTATTTTGGGTGTGACTGGCAGTGGGGCAGGTCCCATATTAGTAGAAGGGTTTTTTGGCCGCAAGGCAAGTTTTTCCCCCAGCCCGGTTGAGCGGTCGTGGCTGGAAATTTAGGGAGTCGGATTTTCAGGCGCTCCCCCACTGGCCAGTCACCCACACCAGGACATTGCTCTGCTCGTGTCTTGCACTGACATATCTCTTGCTGGCCGCCTTGCTCTTTATTACTTCTGGCCTAGTTTTTGGCTAGCGTGTGGCTGCGAGTGTGATGTGACGGAATACTGAGTACATTCTGTGAGTACATTCTGGTAGACCACTACCCCATGTACAACCCGGTTGCTATGTGAGTTAAAAGCATACTATTTCCGAGTGTGCAGGTCAAATATAGTCTTTGCTATGGTAATACAGTGTATGTACAGTCTGTGTGGATATGGGTATACGTATAGCTCATGACATTCCATGCTCTGATCAATTGACACCAGTTGTTCGACACCAGCAACCATATAGCCCAACTCAACCTCTTGTGCTCAGCTGTGCCTTGCTATGCTTGTGCCACGCCACGTGCACACACACACACACGGTGACACTGCATGCACACACACACACACACACACCACGTGCACAAACACACACCACATGCACCCATTTTGCCCTTTTGAGTTTTGACGCCCATCACCGAGGCGATGATAGCAATGCTGCAGCAGAAGCCATAGCAACTTGTGCTGGAATTGCACCATTGAACAGCTTACAAGGCTGAAGAATTGACCGCCACTATTCTGAGCCATGTCTACACCACACAGCTATTTGAAGAGGCCATTTCTGGCCAGTGAATCCCTACTTTTTCGTTTTCGTTTTTTCCGGCACACATCACACCACATATTCCACCATGTACTGGCTGTTGGGATCCACCCAGGATTATTCATACCACGTGCACACACCTCAGACCTCAGACATGCCCATCGCGGAAGCGATGATAGCGAACAGCTATGGTAGACATAGCAACTTGTGCTGGGACTACACCATTCAACAGCTTGCAAGGCTGATGAATTGACCGCCACTATTTTTAGCCTGGTATCCACCCTTAGCTGTTTGAAGTGACTTTTTCTGGCCAGTGAATCCCTATTTTTCATTTTTCCATTTTCCATTTTTTTCTTCACACAAACACCACACCACATACTCCGGCATACACTGGCTGTTGGTAACCACCCAGGAGAGTGAAAGAAAAGTCAGGAAGAGTCCGAGAAAGAGAAGAAAGACGTGTGTGACCATAATCGTCGGGAACCCGCAACCTCTCGATTGGATATCGACTGCATATTACCACCGCACCACACGTGCACAAACATACACACACACACACACACACATACACACACCAGACACACACACACACGCACACACACACACACACCTCAGACCTACCCATTGCGAAAGCGATGATAGCGAATAGCTTTATTAGAAACTAGCAGCACCCCAGGCCAGCGTTGCCTGGCCGAATGTGGCATGCGGGTGAAGCAAGTACATGAACAGCACACGTGCTCAGCACGTGGTGGTGGCCAGACCGCTGAAGTCCTGGTGAGGGAGGTTCTTCATGGTTGGAAGGAGAAGGAGGGACGTCTGTTACGCCTTCGGGAGGCTGGTCAGGGTTGTCCATCACCTGGTGGCGGATGAAGCGGCTCAAAAAATTCATAAACTTTACGACAAAAGTGCGATGCGCTCTTCACTGCAGATCAGATGCAGAGTGCAGTCAGTGCAGATCTTTTGTATCCTTTTGTTGCAGATGTTTCTATGTGCAGAGAACGGTTCACGTGGTCCGCAGCGCTTGTGCGGCTGCTAGTGCTACCTATGGCGCTAGGTGGCTACATGATTCGCACGCTTCGCGTGCTCAGTGCTTCTGCGCTTATAGCGCTTGGCTGCTACTGCTACTCGTACTGACATGATCGTGTCTGCTAGAAGCGCTACCACCTACATACACTGTTCGCACGCTTCGCGTGCTCCGCACGTGGTGGTGCCTACACGATTCGATCGATCGAACCCTTCGCGTGCTCAGTGCTTCTGTGGCTGCTTCCGCTAGCTACACGATTCGCACGCTTCGCGTGCTCAGTGCTTCTGCGGCCGCTAGCTACACTGTGCACTGTTCGCACGCTCGGCTTGGCGTGCTCAGGGCAGCGCTGCTCCGCAGCGCTTCAGCGTGACATACAATTACACACACACGTCACAGGTGCCTCTTCTTTATATGGAGCGTGACACACACACACACACACACACACACACACACACACACACACACACACACACACACACACACACACACACACACACGTCACAGGTGCCTCTTCTTTATAAGTAAAGATAGCAACTTATGCTGGAATTACACCATTCAACAGCTTGCAAGGCTGATGTTTTTAGCCTGGTATCCAACACACAGCTGATTGAAGTGGCGTATTCTGGCCAGTGAATCCCTATTTTTCATTTTTCAATTTTTTCATTTTTTTGGACACACACGCCACACCACATCCCCCGGCATACACCGGCTGTTGGTAGCCACCCAGGATTATGAAAGAAGAGCTAGGAGAATGAGAAAGAGAAGAAAGACATGTGCAACCATAATCGTCGGGAATTGAACCCGCAACCTCTCGATTGGAAATCGACTACACATACCACTTTACCATATGGGACACACAGGGACACACACACACACACACACACACACACACACACACACACACGCACACACATACGTGTATACGTAAAGTCCGCTGCAATTGCCCAGTTCGCAGCAAACGCTCACCCCAGCGGGTCCATACTATTTTCGTCTTTTTCAGGTCAATTTAGTTGTAGAAAATTGGCATGAAGGTCGAATGCGTACAAGAACGACTGTAATGCCTACACAGTGCCTATGTCTTACCAGGATCCTGTGCAAAAGCGATTGTCATTATCTTGCTGCAAAGAAAAACTTCGGTCGGGATTTCCTTTGCATCCGATAAATGAGTCATCTTTGTTATTTATAGTTTGTTCTCCTGATGATCTGATGATGGGCCAGGCCCGAAAATTTGGTGTACAGTAATGTAAATGTAAATTTGAATTTGAATCGCAGTGAAGAGACCGTTTTTAGAGTTTGGAGTTGAGAAGTGAAGTTTCCTAAAAGTTCGTTTTCCATTATTTTGGTTTTCAAATCATGAAATTTCTGCAGTACCATGAATGTGACGATGTTGCGCTTTCAGAACGGAACGGTGATTGTTCTGACGAAGCGTCATTCGACGACTTGACCGGTCGCAGTATTCTGGTATTGCAGTTGCAAGTCGAACAGGGGAGATGTCACAAAAGCTACACCTACAAAGTTGCTACCAACTTGTTGAAAACTCTGAAGTGCTCGAGAAAAACCCTTGCCTTTGCGTGTTGCGTGATTTGGAAATAGGGAGGTTCTGCTCTACGTTTTGGGAACGCGACGCAAAGAATCACGCGAACTTTCTTCGCGTTCCCGTAACGTAAAGAAATGCTGTTCTGCTCTACGTTTCACCTAGAGAAGTCACGTGGAATGTGTACTGGGAATTTCCCTTTCCATATTTGGCAGTTTTCTGCATGCAGTTGATCGATACCCAGCAAATCCGTACGCATTTTCTCTGCGTGTGCCACAACGTAGAGAACCCCATCTCCGCGTAGAAATCTGGAGCCAAAACACGCGAAGCCGTAGACTCTAACCCAGACACCTGCTCTCTACGTGATTTCTCTACGTTTCACGTATAGCAGAACCTCCCTAATGATGGCTTGAAACACCGTCAGAAGTATATTTGGTTCCTGCAATACTCTGCTCTTTGCTACCGTGTTATTCGGAAGAAAAACCCATTTGGAATTACGAAATGCAACAAACAACATCATAAAATCACTACGAGCTAGCTCGTAGCTAGTGCCCAAAGAGACTTGAAACCAGGAAAGTGGACATTGTTTACCGTAGCAAAGCGCTCTTCGCGCCACGGTGTGTGATGCACTTTCGTACAGAGGGAGTGACAGTGCATGGGGTCAGTGCGTACAGGCCAGCAGATCTTGCACAATGCGGTGGGCATTTGCAGCGGACTTTACCGTACACACACACACACATACATACACACGAAAAAAACACTATTGGACCAGACATAGTGGTTACAACAATGTGTCCTGTTTTTCTTGTGTACTATTCGCTGTCTGTAGATTTCTTCACAAGGGTTGTCAAGAGCAACCTCCCACAGATCATCGCCAACCTAGCGACCGTACCAGATATAGTGCTCACCGAAGTATTTGGAGATGTCCAGCTGGATGAAGAGTTGATCAGCACTTATCGAACGGCATGTGAGGTGGCCGGTCATGTGCGTGATCTTCCACTTTTCTGTCAATCAGCAATTGGGATGTCTTCACTGTACCCAATGTACAGCTTTCTGCTTCTCTTTTATCTCTTGCACCGTCCTGATCTCACTCAACGACTGGATAAAGATTTCCTGTTCAAGATCGACCGTGAGGCAGGATGTGATGGGAGTAGTCTTGTCCAACTGTTGAATTTGGCTATTGATTTACAGAGCGATAGTAAGTGACAATTTGAAGACTGTGATGCAAGTTAAAGAATGTCCATGATGGTGAATCCTAGTCAATGGATGATGCTGGTCTTTGTCTTAGTATGCATACCAGCTGAAGGTTATATGAAAATACAGTTGTCTTCTACCAGCAGAAATGTTCAAAATGATATTAGCTGTGTTCCAATTTGTTTGGTATACATTATGTTCTAGCCTTGGTTTCCATTGTGAGGAAAATGAGGAATTTTATTGAAATCGTCCACACCTAATCATAATGGCACTTTCTCCCGGTGACTTGACTTGACACTTGACTGACTCACAACCGCCATCCACTGAGATCACACAAGAAGTCCATTGAACTTTCGAAGTCGGCGGGAAAGCGCTAGCTTCAGTGTTGGGAGCAAAACATGTTCTGATGAAATGATCGCCAAAGTCGCAAACTCTTTTTCATAACATGGTAAAGTAGCCTAAACCTGCCTGTCATGTTTGTGGAAATCACCAGCATATTGTTTAGTATTGTCAAAATGCCAATTTTCTGAACTTAATGTACCGGCAATCCAAGCAATACTCGTAGAGAATTCTATTGTGATTCTTCTGATCTCACCTTCATATACAGCAGGTACCGCAATGTCAATGATGAATGATGAAGGTGTGATTGCAGTGAGAGAAGGACCAGGAGATACAGTTGAAGGTCAGTACTGTCCTTGTAGTGGTCCTCCATTAATGCACGGCCCTCTTTTAGGGGAATGCATACTCAAAGTTTGTCAGCCCGAGCCTTACGCTCGCATTCCAGCGCAAGCTTTACAGTGTCCTGCGAATTAGGACTACCTTTCTCAGCGCGGCCGGCAAAACTGAGTGTCCACAGAGTTACCGAGGAACATCTCAGCCTGACAGTAAATCCTTCTGCGAATTAGAGCGCCGTGGAAATGAGTGCCGAAAAGATCAGCGCAAAATACCCCAGAAAGACAGAAAAGTGTGTGGTTAAGTTAGCAAAACCTGATTCTTCCAGTTATCACTGTTATTTATGTGTTACACTCAGTGGTGTCGCACACTTTATGACTGGTAAGACCAAGGTCGTCCGATGTGGTCTGCCATATTCATCCAAAAAGCAGTAATCATTTCTTAGTATCATGCGCTCCTACATGCACTTGTGCATACACTGTGCACACAACTCATGGAGTTGACTGGCAGTAGACCTGGGTAAGCATATGCCATTATGCGCCCTTTACTGGTACTGTTCTGTCTGGACCCACGGTTGCTGCCAGTAGACTAGTAGTACTTGTATACCTAGTACTAGGCAGTTGTATTTAGTGCACTACTTGTATGTGCGATGCAGTTACATTGACTGTAGCTGCAGTGTCCATGTAAACATGGTAGTCTAATAGGTGTATGTATGTTGTCAGCTCACACACACACGCACACACACACACACACACACACACACACACACACACACACACCTTGGACCTTGGACGCGCTGCAATATTCTGGCTATGCGGACCCCATGGGGGGTTGAGCAGGTTCGGAACAGTAGGGGCGATGACGGGATAGGTCCTGTGGTCTACTGAAACGCCGACCGCAATTGCAAACGATGCTGAAGGAGCTACGGTCTGTGTTGGTTGCTTTGGCCAAGCCACGGCTGCACTTGTGACGTTTCATGCCTTGGCGCGATAGCACACAGCGGTTGCAGCGGGCGCAGTGGAAGCTGCAGCGTTCGCAGGACATATTGTTTGTAACCGGTGACTCAAGTGTGTCAGAAGATGCCTCTGCTGGTGATGTTGCTGGGGAGCACTTGTGTCGGGCAAATCCACCCTTGCTCCGGAACCATCTGTCGCACTGATCGCAGTGACAGCTTCCTGGCTGTTGGCTTACGGGTAGGGCACGCGTAGGGCACGCGTAGCTGTACACTTGTGTCGCTTCCTGTCACTTACACGACTGAAGGAGCGGTGACAAGTTTGGCACACAACCGGTGATGGTCGAGGTCTGTTCTGCTTTTCTGGCAGACAACGGTAAGCCTTGCCCCATTTGGAGCGAGAAGATGTGGCCACTTCATACCAGTCGTCAAGTGGTTTGACGTCACTCCGAACACAGTCTCGCCACCTTTTCCGCGGACCATGGGCAGGTCTCTTGTTTGGAAACGAACCGAACAGTAGAGCCTTCGGGATGCGCTCATCCTCCATCCTTGCCACATGACCAAGCCACTCAAGGCGACGTCTGCTGAGACGACACTCCATGTCCAAGGTATCTCCCCAGCGCTCCAGAACTTCAACATTAGTTATCCTGTCATTCCATACATCTTGACGACTGATGCCCAGAATGGTGCGGACACAACGGAGATGAAAGACAGACAACGCATGAACATCAGCCTGTAGCGTTACCAAGCATTCGGACCCATAGAGCAGAGTCGACAGCACACAAGCATTGTACACTGACCGTTTGATGGATATTGGCAGTGTTACATCGTGGACTATCGATTTCTTCAGAGCGCCAAACGCTTTGGCAGCTTGTGCGATCCGGGATGTGACATCATCATGACATCGGCCGTTGCTGTGTATGTTGGATCCAAGGTAACGAAAAGACGACACATGGGCAATCTCCATAGTTCGAATCGCGAGCGGCTCTAGATCGTCGTTAAAGATGTTGGGGCCAGAGACCATGAACTTGGTTTTGGTGGCACTGACGGTGAGGCGAAAATCGCTGCATACATCCACAAATACCTCCTAAGCTGAAACTGCGGCCTGGCGTGTCGCGGCCACAAGACCGGAATCATCAGCAAACTGACACTCTGTCAGCTCCAGGGATCTATCACGGCGGCTACGGTGGTGGAGTAGCTTCCCATCTGGCTCGAAGAAGACCTTTGCGCCTACACCAGGGATAGGCTGCACGTGCTGGCACCAATAATGCATCACTGCCCACATAAAGATGTTGAATAGGACAGGGGCCATGCAACGTCCCTGCCGCAAGCCGTTCGTCACAAGGATGGGGTCAGCTTCAACATTCGACAGACGGAGAGTTGCGGTAATGCCGTCATGGAATGCACGGATAACAGCGATCAGCTTCTCGGGGACGCCAGCTTTTCGCAGTACTAACCACAGACACTCTCGCGGAACTGAGTCATAGGATTTCTTCAGGTCAATGAAGATGAAGAAACACTTCTGCTCATGCTCGTAGCTCTTTTCGATTAGTTGCCTTGATCATGTCAGCACACCCACGTCCTGTGCGGAAGCCGCATTGAGAGTCTGGTAGCACATCGTCTAGTTTATCAGCAAGTCGGCTCTGGATGACGCGAGCAACCACTTTACCAATAACGTCTAGGAGAGCTATGCCTCGCCAGTTGTCACATTCCGCAAGGTTACCTTTCTTGGGGATAGGCACCAGCTGCGCGTTGACCCAGTCGCAAGGAACACTGCCCCTTTCCCAGACTGAATGGAGAAGCTCCAGTAGGTGGTCAGTAAACAGATCTGGACAGGCTTTGAGCATCTCCGGCAGGATTCCTGACTGACCTGCAGCTTTGCCACTTCGACATTGCGTGATTGCCTGCTGTAACTCCAACAGATCAGGCGGCGCAACCAAACTATCCAGACACGGCATTTGTGGACCACAGTCAAGAATACTGGAATTGAACGTACTTGCACATTCAGAACACCAGAGAAATGACGGCCCCAACGTTTGCCCTGGTCTTCGGCAGATGCACATGGATTTCCGTTCTCGTCGTTGATCGCAGCAGTTGTGATGCGGGTCGGGCATTGTTTGACTGTTTGTAGTGCACGGACACATTTCCACACAGTTCGTCCTGAGAATCTTTGTGCATTGGCGAGCTCTGCCTTGGCTGATATCCAGTCACGTTTAGCCTTCCGCACTGCGGCACGCGCTTGACTGCGAGCCTGTTTGAAAGCAGTGTGATCCCTAGGACGTTGATGTTGAAGCCAGAGCGCGTGCAGCCGATTTCGTTCTTGTAACAGGGGTGCAATAGTCGGGCCACTGTCCACATACCAATCAGGTTGTTTACGCTTGCGTTGACCAAGAGTGTCCGTTCCGGCAGTGACAACAGCATCGCGGAGGACGTTCCACTTTTCATCTATTGGATCATGCGGGCGCCAATGTGTTGATACGAGAGTGGACACCGCGTCTTGATAAGCAGACAACGGGGTGGCGCCATCATCAGGGTTGTTGTTTGCATCGGCAGAAAGAAATAACTTGGACGTGTCGAATCGACCCTTGCTACGTTGCACACGCACAGCTTGCGGGTTGACAGAGTGGTGATACGTGCCAAGAAGGAAGCGTGCACAAAGCAGTTGATGGTCACTGTCACACTATGCACTTGGGATGATCTGAGAATCCATGCACAGCATCCTATCACACTGGCCAGTATTGATGTAGTCAATGCAATGCTATTTCTGTGACTTGGATGTTGCCAGGTTGGTTTGAGATTTTGTCTCTTGTTGTGCCAGGTGTTACAGATTGTAGCATTGCACACATTGCCAGGAAATCTAAAAGTTCCTTTCCAGAGGAGTTCATCTCCCCAAAGCCATGAGGGCCACGCACAGTGCACCACTCATCCCTAGACTGCTCAGCATGGCTGCCACGAGTGCCAACTCGCGCGTTGAAGTCTCCGAGTAGAACGTATCTGTCACCACGAGGGACGTCGTCAATCGCTCGCTGCACGGAGTCGTAAAAGTGCTCCTTCTCCGATCGAGTGCTGGCGAAAGTCGGAGCGTACGCCACAATAACAG